TGTAAAGTAAAAAAACAAATGAATATCGCCGAGCCGTTAAGTTCGAATTCGAAAAATTTCCAAAGACCTACGTTACAGAGTGGAGTTCAATTTTAAAGAAAAAATCACTTGCGCAAACAGAATTCAGCAATCTCTAATCGTTTGGCCGCTAGGGAGCGTTTCTCGAATTTAGTCGATGGATTCTACATAAAAAAGGACTCTAAGAAAAGTTTTGCTAAAATCAATGAAGAAAGATATGGGACATTAAAGAAATCCCGTTGCACACTTCCACGAGCTGCGCGTCTTTGAGTATCGGTCAAGAGCTTTGGCACAAGTTCTGGCATCAAACGAACACTCATTCGGCGGTATTTGTTCAGCAAATCTTGCACACGGGTGAGATTATCATCCGTTCGCGATGTTGATGGACGCCCAGAACGGGCCTCGTCGCCCACTTTTTCTCGGTTTCCTTGCACGAGTTGTGCCACTTTTTGTGAGTACAACAAGCAATCATCCTTGAAGGCCTTGAATTGTATGGCATAGCGTTGCTCTAAAGTTCTCAGCACGACGAGGTCCACTAAAAATGACGTCCCACCGTTCCGAGAGCTCGTAGGGAAGTGAACCAGGTGTCGCTGAAATGCTTAAGGTACAATTCCAAAGCACGCGGCAGACGGCCCATAGCAATTGCCACCGGGCTTCAATTACCGTCGTACCGATAACCGACTATGTCTCTGAGTGCTGGTGCGTTGGGCTACATAGTCGGAAGGTCAGGTGTTCGAACCTGGGCTGAAGTAAGAATTTTTATCTCTGGCAGAGATGGGAATTTCCTTAGATCAGTTTCGAGCATTCTGCTGGCTACTCCGAATTTCCATCCGTTTTCGGATTTTAAGCGCTTTGATTCAAAATCAATTTTGGATCCATATGCTTTGACGTACCTACCTAGTTATTCAATCTGGACAAATCTAACCATTTTAGATTTTATTAAAAAAGCGTCCTTTAGCTTCTAGAGATTTTTTATTATTTTTTTAACATCCCCACCTTTTCAACAATTTTAGTATTTGTTACCTTTCTGGTCTATTGCATTACGCTTTATTCAAAATTTTTTTTTTGCTTTCACAATTGGCACAGTTTTTCTAATCCAGCTTCTTGATTTCTAGCGATCTCATTGCTTTTTCTCCAACGTCGTAAACGCATGTAGTTTTGTTCCCATACTATTAATTTTAGACTTAATTACACTTCTGAACAATGAAACATATTTTCTAACAGGTGTTTTATAAACCATAGGAAGAATATGGCAACAGTGACAACACCATCTAACCCGCCCTTCAGTAGAGGTATGCGCGGAAGTTAATTAAATTATAATTAACCTAAAAATATTCTTTTAATAAATAATACCTGCAATCTCCACAATTTTTCAAATATCTTTCCGTAAGCAGAAAAATACTAGCGCCTATATTAATTGGTTGTCGGCAATGTCATAATTATTAAAATTTGTGACCGGCAATATTGTCAAGCAAATTACACTTGAAGCGTGTAAAATTCAAGCAGTTCTAATTTCACTTCGAGCACCGGCACGATTTTCCAGGCGTAATGCAAAATTAACCCTTGGGGTTTATATGTAATTCAACACTGTTGTAGTCATGCATGCAACATGTACGTGTATACTACTACATAGTAGTACTTAATATGTAACGGAATATTTGTATGTGAGCAATTACGGCTATACTAATTATCAGCTGGCTTAAATTTTATTGCTTACATCGCATATAATATTGTTGCGAAAATGTTAATTAACGTTTTTCATCATTTCCAGCTGCTTGGCACAAAAAAGGATTGATGAATTGAATTTTCAATTAACGTTCGCCAAAAAGATCCAAAATTCTTTTTCCGGTCCAATTCTACCACTTCGTAATTTTGCTTGACCCACACTGCTCTATGGTCAGCATTTTTTTCGGGAAAACTATGCGAATGTGTTTTACTTTCTCAAAGATGATTTTCCTTGACTTAATTAGATTTGCTGGTAAATAAAGTAGAATGGGTCGATTGTAAGGAGTATATGGTTTTCAGTTTTTCCATTTTTCAACCTGTTGATGCGAAAATCCAACAGACTATCAAAGTGCCAAACTACCACAATGTAACTTTTATAACTATTTGATATTTCAAAAATGTAATGAGGCAGCATATTTGACTATGCCTAGAATTGGGACGTAAGTTTGGTACAAAATTTCCCCAGAAAACAACAAACGTATATTCACCTCATTTCCCATGGCCGGAAATAAGAATTTTGCAATAGCCACGATTCCGAGAAAAATCACGTTTAGACTTTGTAAATCCATTTTCCTTGTGGATTTTATAGTGAATTTGCAAATGGGATAAACATGAGCGCTATACCGAATTGGTGGTGCATGATGTGCACTAATCTTTAGAGCAAAACTATAGTTATTGATAAATGTGATATAATATAGGAACGCAATTTTCAAATTTAGTTTCGTTGACGTACATATAATGAGATTTAAAACTGGGACGATCAATATATAGATACGCACGGAGGAAAGCAATTTTTTCCATCACGATTGGCACGCTGACTATAAAAGGATTTTATTTACTTTTGCTACCTATTCCGATTGAGAGAGTATTTAAATTAATTAAAAACACAAAAACAATTCGAGAAGTTGCGAACATCAATACGGGATTTTAATTAACGAGGTTTTCTGATAAAAAATGAGTGTATAAGACAAAGTTGTCAATTGCCAGATGCTGAAATGTTAAAAAAGCTCGCTGTTGTATGATTCAAACATTAGTAACGTTAACAATGTAAGATTTCTATTAAAAGAAGTAATTCATCATGTGTTTGCGGTAAATGATTGTAGGCGAATTTATATACCAGATGGCCTATTGCATTATTGCTTGACAATACCACAGTTTTCAGCTTAATTTCTGTAGTAATCCGCATCTGCAATCTTCTAACCAGCACTGTATGTGCCCCTTCACAATAATGGAATTATGTACACCTATTAATTCGTTGCATAGATATAGGTACTATAGATTTTTATAAAATCCTCAATGATTAAACATAATAGAAAGATAGAAATAAAAACTGTCGAAAACAAAACCATGTATAGAAATAGTTTAGTCTTCTTCCAAGAAATTACTTATGGATTTTAACTAATTTTGCCCAAAAGAGTAAGGCAATGCTAAGGTTGGAACGGCCTCCTTACAATGATATGGTTAAAAATAATCCTGAAGCTGCCGAATGGAACTTTCCGACGCGACGATAAAAAATCCTTCGACGAAATCTACAGTTCCAGGGAGTAGGTATTTTTTCGAACAGTTAATCATGGTGTTTTTTAATTGCAAGCACACCTTTTATTAACGTTAACGTTAGTCGCACGTTTTAGACATAGAACATAGAACGTGTGCCCCCCCCCCCTTCCACTCCCCTCCCATTTCCAAAAGTTTTACTTGGCACCGCTAAAAGTATGCGAATCTGAGACAAATTGGTTATCGCATGTAAAAGTTATGCATGTTTTACCTTCAAAAATGTTCTCATGTCATGTTTTTCAATTCTTCAAAAATGCGCTAAAAAACGAATGCAAAATTATTTTTTGAAAATTCGAAAACGGCGATTCTTGGCTCGACAGCGAAAAAGTAAAAACATTTTTGACATGTTATAAATAGTACTTAAACCAATCTACAATACGAGTATAAGGAAATAGAGTGTCGACAGAAGTGACTATAGATCTTTCTCTCTCGTACTTCTTCGGTCCCTATTATATTTCGGATTTCCTTTCAAATGCGCTTTAATAATGCCGTGCTCGTCCTCGGTTCGCACGGAATTACCCGAGCGTGACGGGTGTTGGATGAAATGATTTTACTCCCGTGCAAACACATACGGTACATACCGAGCCACAAGAAGTAATCAAAAATGTCCTTGATCTCGTTTTGAAAATTTTAGCAAAAAACAGGTCATTGATGAATGCGTGAAGATTTCGAGGATCGTTTGGTATTCAGTTGTATCGGATGTTTATTTGGGAAAGTGTACATAAAATTATTATTCAACGAGTCCGTTTTAGCATTTCTGAACTATTAATGTACAGGGTGTCCCATTAATAATGGACACTTAATTGCACAGCTTCGGGAAAAAAGTTTTGTTAACAAAAGGGACTAAGACAAATCGCTGGCAATTATTTTCAAGTTTCTAGCTTCGCCGCTAGAGGGCTTACGATTCTTGGTTAAGTAGAAAAATGACTTTTTTCCTCAAATATACTCAACAAACATGCATAAGAAATATATAAATAATTTGATTCCACGAAGAGAGCTCTTTCCAACAAGACCTATTATGTGAAAAACTGTTAACCTAAACCGAAGTTACATTCAATTCCTTAAAGAGATGTTCCCCTTCCCACACCCCTCACATTTTATGAGCTAGAACAGTATGCGCGGCACCAAAATGATACAAGATTGCTATGCATGTATTTTTGGGTGTATTTTAGAAAAAAAGTAATTTTTCTACTTAACCATGAATCGTACGCCCTCTAGCGGCGAAGCTAGAAACTTGAAAACAATTTCCAGCGATTTCTTTTGACCCCTTTTGTTAACGAAATTTTTTCACCGCAGTTGAGCAATTAACGGTTCCATAGCTATGGCCTGTGACCATTGCTAATGGGACACCCTGTACAGGGAAATTTTTATTGATTAAAAAAGTCCCCACATATTAAAAAGGCGACGCACTGACCTGGCGTATGTACCAAAAGGTAATCAAAATAAATAAGAAGCTCTATCCAAAAGTAACGGCGTGTCGCATCTTGATATTTTTCAGTCCTTGTTCTAATCAAGTAAGAGTAAGCATTGGTATACTCGTACCCGCTCAATTTCGCTAATTACTGTATCGTGTCGCAGTGTACGAAGAGGTTTTCACTAATGAGAAATTCGCCTCCAATCTTAACGCTCACCAACTATCTACTATACGTAAATTATGTCTAAACTATGTTAATTTTAACAAAAAACAAAATCTCAAAACGTACCCCTGAACCTCGACCCTTCCCCCTGCCACGCCTAGAGTCTCCACGGATGAACGCATCATCTCCGTAAAGCTAGAACAAAATAAAAAAAATAAAATAAATGAAAATAATAAAACACCCCAAAAAGCTACACTACTCAAGTCTCATACAACACCCACCACCACTTAGCACTCATATTGTCGCTAAAAATTTTAATTATTGAAATGAAATACATACAGGAAGTTGTTCGGTTTAAAGTGGTAAACAGAGTTTTTTATTTACACAGGAAGTAAGGGTAGAAAAAAAGACTACACTACCTAAAATGAAGCTTTCATTTGCACGATGTGTTGCATATGTGCAGGATAATTTTACTCCGATATTATCGATTATACCATAGTAAATTAGTCTATTACCTACTTATAATTTGTAGTACGAATAAAGTAAGTTGGAAGATGTTTTGTTTTAATTTAAATTAAACGAAACAAACTAATTCCATTTTTCTCGATCTTTGAATACCGCGGTGTTGTATATCTACACCTTCATTACTTGACGTATCGCAAGGTAAAAAAAATCTTGAAAACAAATGGAAATTGAATATTTGATATTTCAAATATTTTGGATAAATACAAACGTTTGGGAGTCATTTTCTCATTTTAATCGAAAGATAAAATTGTAAGCAAGGTATCGAATACCCATTTCTTCTGAAATAAATAACAAAGCATAAGTGCCATAGGTGAATGAAACAACAACCCATACTACGTTCACCCTCAGTGGCCTCAGTTTGCGTAATAAAAAGGTATAAAGAAATTTTAAGACTTCCCAACCGTTTTTAAGATCTCAAAGAACTTATACATATATACAGTGTGAGTTTCACTATGGCGATCTCGTCAACTGTTAGAGTTACCTACCAAGTCTCTTAAATAGATAAAATTATGCGCTGGTTAATTTTCTCTTTCGAAGTTTTTTTTTATAGCTCTACAAAGAACGAAGTTATGGTCAAATAACAAAACAATGTCACGTTCGAGAATGCGCTGGCTTTTAACAAACCCTTAGTGATTTTTCTCAGCTTTCTATAAAAGAGCGATCGCTAAAAGCCCATTTCCTAAAAAATAGACATATAGATTATAAACGAAGAGATTGAACACGCTTTTTTTGCGTCATCTCGTCGTTTCATTTTTAAATTGTTATACTTAAAGTTATGATGACACCGAATTTTTGTGAAGCCGACCAGCTTTGATAAACACCCGGTATCTAGAAGCGTTTTAAGTTGGGCGAGTCGTTACTAAGTAACTTCTGAATTTCCTTATTTGCTCTAGGGGACGAGGAGTGAGCTTTGGATGTTTTCATTTCAATTGTTTGTCTTACCACCGATAACGCAAGTAAGTTCGTTTTTGCAACCGTTCCGGTAAATTGTTTTTACAGCCGCCCCAAGCTCTCTTGCCAGGGAAGAAGAGAGAGAATCAATCTTACTAAACTTTAGGTCCGTTAATTAATGATTAATCGAGATTAGTTTTCTAATGGTATACGAAAACTGAGGATTGAAACCGACAAGGTCGTGCAGTTTAAGGAAAATATCAGCGTGATAACCGATTGCGGCGCCTGACCTCACATCCCAAGGAACAAAAAGGGCATTGCTGGACTGTCGAATTTGGAGATGTCATTCCGACTAATTAGATAAGTATAATTAAGGATTTTTAATTTAAATGAGTTACAGAATATCCGTCCGATTGCGCTGGGCCTTATCTCAAAAGAAGCGCTCTTAAAAAACGTGAAGTTTGACATCGTCCCTTATTTTTCCGATGTCGGGGAAAAGAGTAATTTATTAAAAACAGTTTCATTTGTTTGAACGTATCGAAGGTATAAGCATACGAGACGGGAATTTCAGTTTGTCTACTCAAATGGATGTTTAGATAAATAGAAAACGCACTATGAAATAGTGTCTTTTGCTTTTGGCGTTTGACAGAATAGTAAGTTAGATAATTTTGGCTTTTGCATTTTCGCAGTTACGCATTTTGAGCTTTTCCGTAACAATTACTTTTGCAACCGTATTTAAATCTGTTACCATTTTAAGTTTTTGCACTTTTGCCAGTTACATTTCTTTGCATCCGTACCGTTTCATTTTGCTTTGCAATTAAGTTGCCGCGCCGTATTTATTAGAATTGGCTTTTAGCGAATTTTTGCCACCGCTCCGTTAATTTCAAGGTAAGCCTTTTGTTACTTTTGGTTTCACTAATTATAAAGGGGGGATGTTGTCCGCTTTCCCGCCAGTGCTTTTCCGCTGCTTCCGCCGATTTGTTGCTTTCATTCCCGCTAAAGATTTTGCCGTAATATTGTTTTAGTTTTTCCGAAGTGACCGCCAGCGCCGCCATCTCTTAAATCCGTCCGATCCCTGGAGCTGCTACTGTTAACTACTACAATTTGTACATATATTTTTTTTAAGTAAATGGTAATTATTATTCCGCTAATACTTCATTAAATTGCAAGTTCACCGAAGGTGCGCGAACTATTCCAATTTCGTCGCAACAGTTTCCTGAAAGATGAATATTTTACAAGACCAAATTTCTTCAGTAGTGAGTTTTGCTTGAAACGACCTTTCATAGGCGAATATTAGTAAACGTATTCTGATTGGGGGCGTATTTTCTTAGTGGCGAGGAGGACGTTCGTGAACGAATGTTCCGGGGATACCTAAGGGGACGAGACAATTTCTCTTGGGTGCTAGTTTTTTGGGGACAATATCTTAAGGACAAGCTCTCGTACGGGAATTTTCAGCGGCACTCCTATACTATTCTTGTGGAAACAAGACTATTCCGAGAAGCGGTTGTTGAAAGTAAAATTTCCTTGCGCTTTTATTGGGGAATAGTGTTTTTATGAGGTAATTTTCCGGTGAGCGAATATTTCCACAGAAATAAATGGGACTGCGAATTTAGTAAGAAAATTTGCTGGAGAGATCATTTTTTGGAGACTAGTTTTGTTTGGGCGAACATTCTAAAAGTCAACTTCGTAGCTAATCTTCCCACCCTATTTCCTGCGGGGCGAAAATGCCGGATATGACAAATGTTTATTGGGAGGCGAATATTCTGGAGGGGACAAATTTTCCTTGGAGATGAGTATTTTGAAAACGTACCATAGTAAGAGAGGCTTCCCGACCCATTTTTCTTGCCGAGAGAGGGGATAAGTGAGTATTTCAAATCGAACGGGAGAAGTATACATTATGCAGCTGCGAGCTTCCTGGTAGCTAGGAACATTTTTCCCCGCGAGAGAGTTTCTACGAGGGAAAGCTGATATTCCGATGTAGTGTGTAAATTTAGGAGCTTAATGCATTTGGTTTGGATTTCAAGATTCATATTTGGTTCAAGAATTTCAATTTTATTTCATAATTTCAATATTCAATCAGCCAAATTCAAGGGTTCATTTATTGTGGTACTGTATCTGTAGGAAGCATATGCCAAAAAAAGTTAATTTTTACAAATATATGGACTAGGCAACGCAAATTACAATTAATTTAATTTTGAATTGTTAACTCTTTATTGCTACAAAGACCGTTGCACTGAAAACTTACAATGCATCAAAATTTGAGTGGTAGGAGACAAAATATTGTAGTAGGCGTAGTTGCCTTAATTTAGAATTTTGTGAAACAACAACAGAAAGAGAGCAATTACATCTCAAAAATTCGCAATGCGAAATGTAAAGTTTCCTGTTTTTTGTACGAATAAAATCGCATTGTGGCTCTTAAAAACCAGCAACATCTTAAGAAATTTTTTCATCAGAATTCCTCATGATAAACGTTGCAACAGCCATACAGCCAACGGCTTCTCTTTGTAAAAAAAAAGATTTTGCTACTAAAAGCTCGAATTATTAAAGCAATCCACCTAGTTTATTTAACCTGGCTTAATATCAATTTAAAACTTTCCAAATGCACCTAAATTTATAAAATAAAATTTGCCACCCCTCGTTTTTAAAGGGTGACGTCGATCTCGTGCTACTTATCATGAAGCACACTCTCGATCTAGGCAGATGTTACCAAACTGTTGCTACCTTTTTAACCACAATCACAATTTGCCGGGCGCAAACCCGCTGTAATTTTTAATTAAAAGAGTTTTTTTCGACGCATTACGCGAAAGCGATTTTTGCCCGAAACAACCCCCAAATTATTCGTTCATTCGTTTAATTTAACATCTATAATGAACTTCTGATTGCACATAAAAGCCATTGTCAATACAAGTCTGTATTGGGAATATTCCCCCGATTTTAATCTAATTAATTACTTGTCACTGGTGTACTCTAATTAAAGGGAATCGTCGAATTTTGCGCGGAAGTGCGAATAGCGCTCGTAAAATTACATCACTGAAATGATAAATACTATAATTTTTTTGCAGTGAGAGAACCTTGGTGGAAGTTCGAGTAACGGTGAAGTGGGTGGAGCGTGGCCCAGCTGTCAGTAGACAGCGACCACGTGTGCAATGTCAGGGGTGCACAGCTTTAAGAGTTACGCCTGAAGGTTATGCTTAATAAATGTTTATAATGCAAAATTTATCCAGAGACTTTTTCTATGGTCCCGCAGTCGGTTTGCACGCACTATCGCAATGTGTACAAATCCTTTGTTTTAAGTGAGACCAGACTGACATGTAAGCGCCACCCCAAAATTGGACAACCCTGAAAGGGCGCACCTGGCTGAACTACCGGATATGGTAAAGCAACGATCCAGACGAACGTTTAACCCAATATGGCATATACTCACATACGACGCTCTAAATAAATTTCGAAACTGCAAAGTTAATCCCGATACACGTCAAAGCTTCGCTAGGACAAATGGGCGCGACATATCAATGTAAAGTAATTGGAGTAAAGACATGTAATAATAGCACATCAGGTATTGATAGTAATCTAAGAATTTCCGGAGGTTAGTGACCAGGAAATGAGCACATCTGTCCATTTTTTGGAGTGAACGATTTAAAATTTTAGTACAAGGTTATTATACTAGAGGTGCTCAATAAACAAATTATTAATTAAGGTGTTGCCCTTTAAAAACCATACAAGTTTTCGATTATCTTGCGGTACAAACATTGCTTCAGTTTTCCCCACCGAACTAAACA